CAGGGTTTCTCCGATCTCTATAATTATTTCTCTATCTAAAATTTCTTTTGCCTGTTTTCAATTCCATTTCTTGACCCGTAGACATTCTTTGTCTAAAAAAGAATGCACGACTGCGTCGTGTACATGATAGGAAAAGGAAAAACCATAAGAGTAACAAAAGGCTCGCAAGCAGAAGAGGGAAAATTTATGTATATGGCGCAACGTCACATCTGCGTAGAATTCTGTTCGCTGCCATCAGTTTGGCCATTTCTCAGGATTTAGGTCAACTGGACAGTTGCGAGAAAGCCGGGGTTGAACCCGACCGTTTGTCTAATGATCCCTGATTTCTCGGTAAGTTAAGGTAGAAGCTTTTAACATTCGCCGAAGCGTCGTAAACGCGATCCAATTCCCGTCAGCAGATTGTTGTTGATATCGTATTATTAAATGTTTGATGTATGTACTGCAAGAATAAAAGAAGCGCCTGAATAAAAAAAACGAACAGAGAAATTATCATCGCGCATTCCTCCAACTTGTACAGAATGCTGCAATTATCGAAAACAACTTCAGCGATTATCGTTGGAGAACGCAAATAAAGGAAATCATTGCGCGGACGATGTAGTAGAGTAGCACGTGAAGAGACGAAGGTTGGTGAGTGTCTTGAAGATTCTCTTGACGTGTAACACCGGCAGGACATTTATCTCGAGTGTCACTTCACCAACTTTCACTGACACAATGTCACTTCGTTCGGTCCTCCGACTTCCCTCAAGCAATCGAGGAGATTTTCTCGAAGATGCTGCGGTAATGGAGTTTCATTCAACACAAACTCTCTACTACGTCATTTGCATCACTCACAATTAATCTTTCTGCTGGACCATTTATTCGCAGTCGTTCGTGCAGTGGCATCTATTACTACCATTGAATCATACAACAGAAATCAGTTAGGTTTCATAAAAATTGTAGAATGACAGAATGGTACCACGTCACCAAAGATCACTATCAATATACGTCACGAACGTTCTTCTTGCAATATTATTTTTGCTTATATTTTATTAATATTATATGTATTTGCCAAGAATAATAAAAATAAAAAATTCTCACGAAGAAAGTATTATAAGTTATAACATAACACTTTATATCATATTATTGTATATACTATTATAACTCATAACGAAGAAGCATTGATTTATCTAAGCACAGCATAAACCTAGTTATCTGCAAAATGACGTTTCAAAAGGGTTGGGGAAGACATTTTATAAATTATTTAAAAAAAATTACTTTTTATTACAGAAATTGAATACAATAAGTTCGGGTATTTTATTTTTTATATTATATTTTATTATTTACTCCAATTTTGAATTTAATATTTTGTACTCAATTTCTACAAAAAATACATGTAAGGTAAGCTAAAAAGAAACTTATACGTAACTTGTAAAGTAATTTTTTTAATTTTGTGTTTTATTTAATTTTGGTTTTAAAAATTGGAATGTAATATTTTGTCAGAATTTTTAATTTTTTATAAGTAGAAGAGTGTTTATTTTTTTCACTCAACTGTATGATTCTTTATCTTTGATTATGTGAATTTTATTTTATTATTAAACTTAAATAAGTTTACATAAGTAATCGACGATATTAAAAACACTTAAGTTGATTTAAAGATACAATATTATTAAGTATATTTTAAAAATATTGTACTAAAAGTTGTACAATTAAATTTTATTTTTGTCATTTTGTTTGTAAAAACTATAAAATATAATATTGTGAGAGTTCCTATTTTTTATATTAATACAAAAATGTCAATTTTTGTCTCCAAACTGTGTACTGACTCCTTTATTATATCTTTGATTATATCAACGTTTAACTATTAAATTTAAACACAAGTAAACTTTTCACACAAATAAGGGTTGTGAAAGTTATTTCACACAAGTTACTTTTTATTATAGAAATTGAATATAATTAGTTCGGGAATTTTATTTTTTATTTATATTTTATTATTTATCTTTAATCTTGTATTACTTTCTGTACTCAATTTTTATAACAAACATATATAAGGCAATTAAAAAGAAGTAACTTATATGTAACTTAAAAAGTTATAACTTTCCCAACCCTGAGAATAATTGACAATATGTTAAAAATATAAAATTTTATTTGATATATATATATATATATTTAAACATATTTTTCAGGAGAGAGATGCCAAAAGATTCATTTATCCTTTAAAATTCGAGTATGATAAAGAAATTGTCATAATAGGGTTCACCTCAGACATAATGGTGAGAACTTGTAACATCTATATTGAAAATCGAAATCTTAATGCTTTCCCTCATCTCAACAACTTTAGAAAAGGGTTCCAACCAAAAAATAACAAGTATCTACGGAACGAATTATCTAACGCGTGTCGAACCATACTGCTGGTCATGTTCTCGCAAAAGTGATCACAATGCCTGGTCTGCGGCTACCTCTTCATGAGACGAACGATATATCATTGCAAAGTGCCCGCGACTAAACGACGCGTTTGACAATCTGAAGGAGATCATTATGTGCTTTCATGCTACTGTGGCTTTCGAAAAGAGATATCGCGATCACGGGGAAGAAATTTCACATCTGAGAACATCTTGGTTGTTATTGAGACAAATCCCTGCTTTAAATTCACCAGTGCACTGCAGTTGGACCGCGTTACACATCAAATTCTCCGCACGAGTTAACTTTATGCAAAAATCTTTTTATTAAGATAAAAAGAAAAGATTTTATATACATATATATATATATATTGTTGTTGCACACAACAAAGTCAAAACAATTAACCAGCAAGATGTCTTGTAAATACCTTGCACATGAAATATCCGTAGTGACGTTCGCGATCGCAAGTCTGATGAATTGTGAAATTTCAATCCAGACATAACACATGTATGTACATACATATTTATATTTGTGGTAGTTTACATAATTTCTCTGCGCGAAGAGGAAAGCTGGGCCAGGATCAATAGGAGCCAGGGAGGGATTGAAGGTGCGGTGTAAGCGAGGGGACCCTCGTCCTGCAAAATATCAAAGGCTCAGTAGGGAAATTGAAAGGCTTTGTATGGAAATAAGAATGTATCGACTGCCCCTGAACAACCACTCATCCGAGGACAAGATTTTCAAATCTTACATTTAAACGTCTCTTTGCAGAAATATCGTAAGAAAAAAAAAATATATATATAGAGAGAGAGAGAGAGAGAGAAGGAGCGGGACTTATTCCACTTAAAACAATTTTTATGGAAACAATATTATTGCGCAATTTTATTTGACCAATCCGTGTCAATAATGTGAGATACAATGCATTCGATAAATCGTACAAAAGGATAACAGATTGAAATGCTTTTTTATTATTTTTGTTACACTCCATTATACTGGAAATGTATTTCCTCGCTAAATTCAAGTATAATACATGTACTGATATGTAGAAGTTAATAATGCAATAATTTTTTATTTTCATAGAAATTTTTTATTTATAGAAATAAGAAGGTTTTTGTAATTCTGCAATTTATTGCAAATATAAAAATAAAATTATTTTGGTTGACCCAAATATTTATATCTATGATATAAATAAATAAAATTTTTTATTATAATTAAAGTTGCTCAAGAATAGTAATATCTATTATTTGTGTGTGTATGTAAATAATTAATTTACAAAATACAGTCAGAACGAAGACGCTCCTGTTACATACAAAAGCGACACGATGGCATCAATTTTTCGACTTTATCAGTAGTGTTGATAATGTGATACGTAGTTCGCATCATTTTATAAAATTGATGTTGATGTCGTTAGTATACGGGAGCCAATACTGAAATATAGTACCATCAGAGAGAAGTCTGAGAGCGGCCATCCTAGCCTTTTTCCTGTAATGCTTGTAACGCTTCAAATGCCCCCGTACACTAGCGGTTCGTTCTTCAGCTGCGAGAACTACGTGTCCATTTTTCTAACACGCCGATAAAATCGAAAGTGGATGTGATTCGTGTCTGTACTATATCCACAAATTACGTAGAAAAGAAATGTAGAGACCGAACGTATTAGCCATCAACATTATTAATTTAATAACTTTATGTGTAGAGGACCACTATAGCAGTTACGCGATACTTTACGTACGCAACGGTTTTTCTTCTTGTACGTCGCGTAAGAATAAAACCTATCCGTAAAAATAAAGCAATAATCGAGTGTTCATCAAGTTCTTTTTTTTTCTCGTGAGCATCCTAATATCATCTCCTACAGAAACATGCCGACTATCGCTCTCTAACGCTATTTTATTGCACTATGTTCTCATTGTTCGCTTTCCGGCGTCTTTCACGCTCTTATGGCTTTACTCAAGCAGTCACGTCAAACGACCGAAAAATGTGAATATTAATCAAACAAGTTAAATAAAGATATTATGATAATTTTTTAATGCAGACTGTTTCGTTTTTCCCATTCTCTCAACTTGAAGCTGAATTTCAAAAAAAGCAAAAATGGGTCAATCTATAAAAGCCCTCCACTACTCCCCGCTGATTAATCGACGGTCATCTTTTATTTACATGCCGTAAAATAGGGTAATTTTGACCTAAAATTTGATAATATCTAACCAGCATATTTATCAGAATATCTGGATGTAAGACAAACATTTTAAAGTGCTTTAGATCCTAATTGTGGACATGCAGACTGTTTATGTATTTTTTTTAATTTGTGGAACAGCGCCTATGAAAACCGATGCATTAAGAATATCATATACATAGGTATTATTTTGTGATTTGTATATATTTACATATGTTTACATTATAATGATTAATTAATTTTTTTTTTTTATTGATTTTATAATGAGAGGTTGGGAATAAAATGTTGAAATAAATTTCAATAGGCCTATTTGATATATTATACAATTAATTAATCTATGGTACAACTGATATCAAGACTATTGCAATCAATATAGGCACAGATAATGAGTTACTATAGCTGTGTTTACTACCAATACTAAAAATCTATAGTTTACGTCATATGAACTATAGATGTTCTGTACTGGCAGTAAATTTTGAAACATAGCCTATATGAGCATGTTTTTTTTTTGCGATTGTCGGATGATAACGCGATCACATACAACGCCTAATAACAAAAATTGTTGAGGAAGCAGTTACGATGAAAAATTGTATTTCGGAGGAAAATAATTCGCGTCAGACCTCTTAGTTATGGAAGAACTATGTCCACTCAATTTATTAGTTTTCCTTTTCTCCTCTGTCTTCTTTGTTTTGTAGGGACGCAATATTAACATAGTTTCCTTAGATTGCTCCTGCACACGTATCTTCGACTTACATGATTGGTCATCCAATTCTTTATTTTGATTTTCCGCTACTGCTTCATCACGAGCGTGTTTCTCCTCTATAATAAAACATTTGTAACATTTCTATTCTATATTGTTGACAATATTATTGATAAATTTCATCACTAAATATTATTACAATGAAATTTCTATTTTTTTACTCTTTATACTCTCTCTTTATCTCAATCACCATTTATATATATATATATATATAACAATGTTTATATAGAATAATATAATATATCTCAGCAAACACAAATATACAAGGTGTTCCGAATTTTAATATAAAAAATTCGGTAAATGTCCTGTTTAGGGAAGTCACCGAAAGTAAAATAAACAAGATATTTATTACATATATTAAAAAAATACAAAAAATAATGTTGTTTTAAATTAAAAAATCATGTTTTTAATAAAGATTATTTAATGTCTGTTACTGGGATATTTATACTTTATTAGACATTCTGTATAATGAGGAGTAATTAGTTTTGTCTATTTATACAAACCTTCGATATCACTAAATAGAATTCTCGACTTCCTTGCAATGCTAAGTTTTTTATCTCCTTTATCGCTCGCACACTCTCGCTCAAAGTTGTTATTGGTGAGAAATATTGATTCAAGAACCTGTCGCGAAAATAACGGTGATATCGGACGTCTTTTCGTACACACGTTATTTACATTGGCTGAGGCATCACATGAGCTTGTTTCATTATCACATATGCTTGCTGTGGACATGCTGTCCGTAATCAGTTTCTCAGTATCCGAGTCACCAGCATTGCTATAGTAATTATTACCGCTATCGGACTTCTTTAGAATTGACTTTGATGTTCGATGCTGATCTATAAATGGCATTCCACCACTATCTATAGAGTCTGCCGAAAGCGAAAGTTTATTCTCCACAGTTGCTTCTGAAACAGATTTTATTGTATTTCACAATTTAATTCAATCAAAAAATCTAGAGTATCTTATGAAAAACATTATCCACACGCATCTAATAAAAATGCGCGATCTAGTTTCTTTATTTTTAAGATTAATTCTAGATTTAGATTTTCTCGAGTTTTTGACGGATTTGAGTAAAAGACACTACCGATATTTAATTAAATTCAATTAAAACAAATATTTACCTTTATATTGCTTGGACGCGCCAAGGGACCTAAACATGTGATAATTAATTATGCGCGTAGCGGATGCCAAGCTATTTGTTGACACAAGCGGGGAAGGTTTGCCACCGCGCAGCCCTCCATAATGATTATTATTGTCTTCCATGGCGGTATCTTCCTTTAGAATACTGCGCATAACTATACTCTCTTGATCGCTGACAAATTGCGTCCGTGGTTTTATACTCTGTAATCAATTAAACATTGAATATTATACTGAAATTTCAATACTATCTACTTGCAAATAGAAGAAATAAAATATGTCACGGGATCCTGTATTTTTTACCTTTTTTAATATGAAATATTTAGTTGTATAGGATGGTCTACTTAACTTGAAAATCTAAAATATTTCACTTATTTTTGATGGTATGAAAAAATATTTTTGAGTAGAATAGTTTTGAGAGGAGCGTATTTTGGTATAACAAGTAAATGAATATTTGCAGTAGAAAATACTTTAGAACAAATACATATAGAATATTAATTTTTAAGAGACTCACCTGTTGGATTCTAATTTTCCTATGTTTGGGCATCATATCGTTTAAGTTGATTTTACTAGCCTCCTTCAAAGATCCAGCACTAGGCAATGTCTCAGCGATGATGTTTCGACCAACCTCACCGGAAATTGATTTTTTCATCTGACTAGTTTTGAATTTTTCCGTTGCCTCCAGAGGATTTATGTAAAGATTACTATCTGCATCTTCAGTTAAATCGCCCTACGGAGAAACGAAAGAATTGAAAAAGCATTTTACGATACATAGGTGAATTTCAGAAGCTTCTGAAACATAATATCATTATTATAAAAGATAAATCGTTATATGTATGTGAATAATTTATTTAATGATAATAAGGAAAAAGTTACATCATATATGTTATCCCTTAATTATATAAAAAAGTTGAGACCAAAAATTTTGATGTATTTTGTACTGTTTGAATTTTTGTGCCCCGGTCTTCCCTACATGTCATTTTTCACTAACACATACTGCATTCACAAAAACTTAATTTGTTATTAGCTATGCGACTCATACCTGTGAGTGTGATGGATGTGTTTGACAGCTTGCATATGTATCTGAACTGTCGACGCTTCCTTGTTCGTTGTAAGCCTTTGCATAGTGATACTCCTGCTCATTGCATATACTTGCGAAGCTTAACGTTTCCAATGGCTGAATTGGAGATATCTTTGATTCCATGAGTGACGAATTGAAGTGTTCTGGACCGCCAATACCATTGCCGCTATTAAACCTAAGAGACCTCATTTCTTGACACACTGGGTTACGAAAGTCACTTGTAGCAAGGGGCATTATGTTCTCCGCGTCCGTGAAGTCTTTGTATTCCTAAAAATACGAAATAGATGAAAAGTCTCAATTACATGGGAGTAAAGAAAGTTGAAAGCAATACGCTTTAATCTAAATTCTACGTAGTTTCAGAGATACTGACTCCTTTGTCTATAATTAAAGTCTTCTTTTAAAAAGAATTTATACCTCTGTGGATTTTTAGAAGTTTCTTCGTATCATTTAAAGTCCGTTTTGTAAATGTTTTTCAAACAATATGAATTTCTAAAATATACATTCTAGAAATATATCTAGAAAATATAAGTTACTAACTGTTCTTTTATATATATATACACACACATCTTAGATTTTATTATTAAATTAACATTTAATCTAAGTTCAAAATTACTTCTCTATTTAAATTATAGATACACTTGTTATACGTACACGTATGTATTATATATATTAGATATATATTATTACGTATATATTATATTTATATATTAGAGAATTATAATATATTTTTCTTTAAGAGGTAAAGCCACTCTAGAATTTCTAAAAAATCGTTTTTTTTTCTTTTTTGTTTAAATGATGCTTTAAGATCTTAGAAATAAGGTACAAAAGGTTTTATAGCGAAGAAAAATTCCTAAGTGTTTTTTGGTAGTTTAAAACGTTATACTTTTCGATAAGATTTGTAGCTTTTGCGAAGGGGTCCTTCTGAAAATAATAAAGAAATTAATTACGTGTGACTCGACCATCTCTAAAATCAGTCAAGAAGGATCAGAAAGAAAAGAACATCAACGAGGAAGGCCTATTGTATGATGCAGGTATCGCAGATTAAAGGTAAACATTTCTATCGCTAATTGTTACAATAAAACTTTAATTTAATTTATTTGAAATTTGAACTGTAGCTTTAAAATTGCATTTTCTAGAGAAAGATGTACGAATTTTTTTTATGTTGCATACTTTTTTATATATAAGCAATTTTTCACCTATTTTTTACTCTTTAAATGTAAAATTTACTTCAAATTCGTATCATTTTTTCAAAAAACGGTATATTACAATTTCCATACATTTTTCTCTAGATTTTTGGAATGTAGATTTAAAAAAGTGTTGGTTTTTTGTTCCAGGTTCAAAATTGCCGAAGTTATATCGTTCCGGCAACAGAGCATTGTCCATGAGAAGATGTTACCATTGCAGAGCGCTACTATTTTGTAACAAAAACATTATTAAAAAAAATTTTCTTTACACCTCAATGTATGTATAACAAAAACCTAAAATACATTTTTTTATTTCTTTCTTTATATACCCGAAAAAAATTTATAAAGTTGGGCTTATTTTTCGTGCTCTAAAGTGGTTTTATCCCTTAAGTGATTTTGATTATAAATAATCATAAATAATTAAAATTGTTTTTAATTGCGAATAACCTGTTATCTTAGAAATTTATTTTGGTTATGAATAACTAGTGTACATGACCAGAATTTTATTTTGATTACCCAAAGTCTCTTTGTAAGCAGTATAATATTCTGGTCATCAATAATTCTTGATTAAAAACAATTTTCGTCATCTATATCGGCTCTACGAATAGCGTTGATAATGTTTGCATTTATAGCGCTGATAGTGTCTCCCCAAACGTACTCTTTAGTGTACGATTAGATGTAGTGGTACTCTCGATAACTAATAATAGGTAACTGAGAAAAAAATTAATAAAATGTGCAAAAAAATAAGTTAATGCATTAAAAAAAGGCATATACACTGTCGAAAGTGCGTTATACAACTAAACACTTATTTGATTTATGAGATTCACTTGTTTTATTTTTCTTTATAACAGAGATTTGTGATTAGTAACCTTTTCTTTTTTTTTTTCCCAACGCCCTCTTTCTAATTTTTTTTTTCGAAAACTCGCCATTATCATCATTCTATACTTTCTGTGTGTCTGTATGTAATCTGAAAGAATTAAAATGTAAGATTCTTTTACAAATATGAAGAACTCTTTACTTTCGAATCCTCTCCACGTGTTGAAACACAGTATATATACAGAAATCGCAGTATACGGAACACGCAGTTAGTTCATGCAAAACTAATACACAAATGTTAATTTATTACTAATTTAGCCAGTTTCGCGCGCTCCATGTAATAATAGGGAAAAGAAGCAAGCAGCACGGGATTTGGCGACGTGGTACGGTCGGTGTCGTGGTTAAATGATTTTAACGGCTAGGTACATAATCAAAAATTAACACGGATATATACTGTGTATGTTGCAAAATAAGTGAGAGAAATAATTTCGGAATTCGGTGTGAAAACGATTTTTGCGTTTTCATCATACAGATTGCAAATGTAAATGTAATGTTAACCATTATAACATTGGCCATGATATAACATTGTTAAAACGAATAAGAAATCGGCCGAAGAGATCGGCAGAAATTACAGACCGCCAGTTTGGCGGTTTTCGGTTACGTGCCGGAAGTTCTCTCGGCTGCGTCACAATTGACTCTGACGTTCTTGTTTCTATTGGAGATGACTAGTTTTCCTCCAGTTCAGACAGTACTTCGTTGCTGTTGTTTTCCTCTTGCAACATTGTTGCTTATACCGGAGTATCCGATATTTCCGGTCCACCTGAATCCATTTGGTTGTACAAGTCCTCTAGGTGGACATCAAGGTTCCTTTGAACAGAGAATTTGGTCAACGTGTCGTTTCCATACTCGGCCATCTTCTAAAATAATTCGGTAGTGTAACTTGTCGATATGATGATTAATTTTTCTCAAATTCCATTTTTCTCTGCTATTGTAGTTACGGCTACAAATCTCACGCTTCCTCCCACTGAGCATTCCCAGATTCTTTCATCTGCATTACTATTTGTAGGCTCCTGTTTGTTTGATAATCTTAAAATATGTGCGCAGTTGTCGCTTTAATATACGTTCAACTGGGGGAACCCCGATGGCGCAGTTGATGTGTTATTCGTAGTTAGATGGAGTCATTCAATACTGTATAAGAAATTTGCGTAAAACTTCTTTCAACGTTAATTTTTTACTTCTCATATTTTCTAACATTTTCTGCAAAGAGTTCTTCATCATCTGAACAAATCTTTCCGCCTGTCCATTTGTGGCAGGGTGGTAAGCGGTTGTAAATTTAGGAGTAATATTATTATTTGCAAGGAATTGTAAAAATTCAGACAAACGAAAACTTCCATTATCCATGACCATCATCTCCGGATAACCAAAATTCATGAAAGTCTTTTTGCATTTCTGAATAGTGCTCTTCGCTGTAACATCTTTCATTACAAACGGCCACTTGGAGAAAGCATCTCTATGAGTAAAAAAAAAATGAGTTGATAAACTGGCCCTGCATAATCTATATACATGGACTCTTTCGAGTAGCGCTTTGGCGGGTTCCCATTCGTGAACTTCTACTTTCGGTAGATCATTACGGTACGTACTACAAATGCCGCAGGTATTTTGTCAAATTTTCAATGGACTTGTCCAGCCCGGACCACTATAAAATAGTGTTCGAGCTAATGCTTTCATTTTAACAATACCAAAATGACTTGTGCAATTTTTTAAAGAAACCATTTGCGTAAAGATTGGGATGTAACGACTTTGCCATTACAAAAAAGAATATTTTTTTTTTAATTCTAATGCTGCCTGATTAACATTGAAACGTAATTTCGCGTATACTTCTCTTTTTCCTCACAACGCACTCATAATGTTTTTTAATAGAACATCTTGAACAATATTGGACCGATCCAACCGTAGCGTTTAAAGCGTAGTGTTTAGAGCATTTAGAAGAAGCAAGTGCGGACCGCAGCTATAATCGCCCTGCGCGCGCATTTACTCGCTTGATCGCTTATATTTATATACTCGCGGTATATTTAAATTAAAATAGAGCATAACATATAACAGTTACATTATCACAATCATATTACAAACGCATGATTTCTGAAATGATATATATAAAATCACAGGAATCGAGTATTAATAAACAAAGTGACACGAAAAATTTCCAGACATCTACCTTCCTATTATCTCCAAGACCTCTTCCTCCCACTACTAAGAAAAAAATCTCTCCCTTGTCCTATCAATTCCTTTCCAACAATCTGGACACTGGTGTCATTTGATTAAGATATTCATATGGTTCACAAATAAAATAAAACACAAATATTAAATCTACAACGTCAATCAATTGCTGCCTTTGATAGAAGGTTCTAATCATGTTATCACAGGTATGTTTGTTATGAATAAAAAAAAGTGTCTTAATAATTAAAAATCTATTCAATGTTAGAAGTGATACTGTTGACAATGTACAATTAAAGTCACAATCATTATTAAATGTTAATGTAAATACCTATGTAATAGCATTTGGAAATTCTGTGCAAACAAGGAAAAAGAACATTCACAATACATAAAAAGATCCAGGAAATCGACAATTGGTTGAAGCACTTGACGTTAAAAAATGGTTTTAATATTAAAAAGAGAGATATACACAAGGATAGTCATCTTCGATCTACTAATGGAACAAGGCACGTAATACATTTTTTTTTAAATGCGAGGACAACAGATTGCGTAATTATACTCTTGCGTTAATTATAATATCACTTTGTAATATTTTTAATTGTAATAATATTCTACTGATGATGGTCTAAATTAGACCGAAACGTTTACACAAATTTAACGTATAATTCGAATAAAGGACATTCTCGTTCATCACAACTAGCGCTGTGGCTGTATACTCTTTGTTTTGGTTTTATTTTATATTCTAAGCCACATAAGATACATTATAATGAAATATTACTGAAATTGAAATGAACAATGGTAAGACTGTAGAGTATATAGGTGCAGGGTTCTAACACAGCCCAGTGAGAAATGACAATGAAATCAATTTGACATCGAAATGACATCAATTCCATTCGATTTTAATATCAAGTCGATTTTAATTATCATTTCTCACTGGGATGTCCTCCGAGATGGGGGGGGGGGGGGGGGGG